AATTAGATAAATAAATAAAAATATGGTTGTAAGTAAGCTCCATTTAAAAGTTGAGCCAATGACTTAACCTTGAATTATTTGATGGCTGTAGGAAAAAATGTCTTGCTTTGTGGAGGGGAAAAGTGCAGCACTTTCTGCTGCCAGTGGAAAATTTTCAGCTTGGAATCTCTTCTTGGTCACGAAATGGAATGTAAAGCACTTCCATAAATGGAATGGAAAGTGAAATTTCACTTTCATGTTCAGTGAAATTGCTCTGAATGTTTCAATTACTCATCATGGAGTTTTCAGCAAATACGACCAATTTTGTCTTCTGGTATTTAATCAGAAGATGGTTATCAATACAGTAATTAGAAAGAATTTTCAGTGTTTCCCCTGGGGCTGACTGGTGTCTGTGACAGAATCATAGCATCACTTGCATGAAGTAGTATAGGTAAACTTTTTCCAGCTACTGTACCTTAAGTGAACGATAGCCCACACTGAGCAAGTACTTGACTATGTAGTTAATATAAAAGTTGAAAAGTAAACGGGTCAGTAAACAGCTCTGCTTACCTTTTTCTGGGTTGGACTGCTCAAGAAATATGCTTGCTTTGAGGCTTAGAGTAGCGATTTGGAAGGGTGCTTCATGAAGTACCTTTCCAAGTGGTTTGTACAGTATTAGTAATTTGATTCAGTTTACCCAGTGCTTTACCCTGAACAAATCAATACTCCAAACATCACAATAAGCTAAAATGTAGTTTGTTTGTTGTTCTGATGCAACATAACACTATATCTGTTAATTCTTTAAGATGCTACAAGGCATTGCACTTTTGTTTCCTTAAATTAACATACCATTCCCACTGGAAACTTCAACCAAACAAGATTTGCTTCCTACAAATTTGCTTCCTAATTATTGCTACCATAATTAAGTTCAATAAACTTCAAATGAGGCAAACACATATACTCTCATGTAATGAGTACCACCATAAAGTCAATGAAACAATAGCAGGCAGAACTTTTCTTTGAATCTTTGTTTGGAACCCTACTGAATCTGGAACCCTTTGTCTTTCTTGTTTCATTATCTAAAATCCCAAGACATTTAAAACAAGTGTGACCCAGGCCATGTCTGATCTTCAAAACAATCCCTTATGATCCATTTCTGGTACAACCTTACTCTATTCTGATGCCTATGCCCCATTATCAGGATTCATATGCTATGTTTCTTTTCATGAACCAGTTTAATATCTTGTTACTTAGAGAAAGCTATTTGTTTCTAATTATCCAGTTAATTACAACTGCAACACAAACTCTGATTTCATATATAATGCATATAAACTGTTGGGTTATTTCTAATTTTAGTGTCTCACAAGGGAACAAAATTCGATGGAAGCTTCACTATCTGTGAGTATAGATAATCATATTTCAAATGGATCAATGTTATTGCATTGTGCATCCATAAAGTAATAAAAAACTAAGCTAAAGCCTTTGGATACGCGAAAACCTTCACTGCAAATAACAAGGTCTGAACTCAATGTACAAAACGGTGGGTAATGGAATCATGGATAATGAGGACCAACCGTATAACATTTCCATGTGAAAACCAAAGGACTACTATGCAAATACACTTAAGCCAAGGCAAAATGGACCTCTTTTAAAGCAGAGAACCTTTTACCATTTTACTTCCATAATTTGATCTAATATAACATGTTTCAGAAAGCTGCCATGCAGAATCAGAGGAAAAACATATCCAATCTTTTTTTAAGTCCCAAGACAAGACATTAAGCAACTGCCTTACCTGTGCATTAAAACTACCAGAGAGGAAGGATTTCATGGTCTCTTAGGTCATTACATTTCTAATTAGACATTTTTCTAGTCTAATATTCAATAGGTTAATCCCACTGTTCTTGTTAATTTTCACTGGATCAAAATAAAATTTGTTCCTTGTTTTATTTATCTGTTTGAATATCCTCAGAAAAAATATAATTTCTTAAGCTTCTCTTTATATATCTTGAATTACTGACCTTTTAAAAATAATTATTCGAGCTACTGCAAATATAGTCTTAATGTGCAGTGCAGAGATTCTGATTCAAAGGGCAATCTGTCATTCAGAACACAGAAGGACATGCACATAGGACCTATCAGAATACCTTTAACTAAATGTAACTTTCTCCAGAATCATGTCTAAGCCAAAGAAAGCACCATTGCAACCCCCCAAAGATGCAGCTGCTTTAAGATGATCCCAAATGATACTACAGATTCCTACATTTGGCCCTTTGAAACTAGATCACTACAGAGCCCGACTACACAGCACTGTGAATTTTTACTCTGATGTAAATCACACTGTATTCAATCCAATTAAAATGTGTTTTTAGGGTTGTGTCATTAGAAAAGCCTTTTTTTTTTCCTATTGTTGAAGGCTTTCATGGCCGGAATATCGGCTGGTGTGGGTCTTTTGGGCTGTGTGGCCATGTTCTGGAAGTTTTGTTTCCCAACGTTTCGCCAGCATCTGTGACCAGCATCTTCAGAGGGCAGGAGCACAGGCAGGAGCACTTTTCCCTGTACCCTGGATGATGTGACCCTGATGTGGGTATTTATAGAGATCAGCGAGGGTGCCTGAAGGGGTGGTGGTTGTGGGTTAATGAGTGGCTGCTTGTTTTGGTGTCTAAATATCTGTGTATCTTCCTGGAGATTAGGCAGGGTTTTTTCTATTGAGTTGTTAACGAGTGGCTGCTGAGGGGGATTAGCATGTTCATTGTGTGAACTGTTCACACGTCCTGGTGGTTGAGCTGAGTTCATTGACCTTTTTCAGGCTGTATTTTTCAGGATTGGGAGCCAGGTTTTGTTGATTTTTAGACTTTCCTCTTTTTTATTGAAACTGTGCTGGTGTTTGTGACTCTCAATGGCTTCCCGGTATAGCGGCTGTTGGTGTTGTCCAGTATCTCTGTGTTTTCAAATAGGATTTTGTGTCCATGTATAAATTGAGTAAATAAATAAATAAATAAAT